TTTGATCCCCAAAACCAATTCCAACAAAACCATAATCAGCCTCTTCCCCTTCAAATGGAGAAGAAGCCACGTCTGGAGGACATTCTAGCAAAATTCAGTACAACCCTCGATCTGAAAATCAATAAATTCATGAAAAATACTAAAAACCGATTCTAGAGAATGGAAGCCCTTTGAAGAAACCAACAAGTTGGTATCCAAAATATGGAAGCACAAATGGATTTTATTTCCAAGTAGTTATTTGAAAGACCTCTGGTGGTTTGCCGAGTGATACGCTGGTAAATCCAAAAGGGGTAGCCCATGCTATCTCTATATAAACCATGCTTAGCCATTGAACTTCAAAGTGGTGAGGAGTTTCATCCACATAACTCATCCGAACCTACTACTCAGCAAGAGGTGGAGAAAGAGAAGGAAAGATCATGATTGCAATCAGTTGTTAAACCATATCAACCTCGAGTGCCTTGTCCTTATGTCTATATCAAGATACAATAGAGCAAGCATTTGGGACAAATTTTGTGGAAATGATGAAACAGATAGCTGTCAGCATCCCACTGATGGATTTAGTGACTCAACTCCCATGTATGCTTGATCTCTAAAGGATCTCCAAGAAGAGGAGAATTGATGAGTGTGATTTGCTTAATGGTATCAGGGAGTGTGTCGATCGTTGAGAATATTTTGTCGCAAAAGACGAAGGATCTAGGGAGATTTACTCTCCCATGGATAATTCGGTAACTCTTGTATTCACAATGCTTTAGTTGATTTAGGAGCCAACATTAATGCCATATCTTATGAGCTTTGTAAGAAGCTACGCTTAGGAGAATGACCCAGTAGCATGCGCTTACAAGTTGCTGATGGTACTTTGGTCTCTCCTAGGGGTATTATTGAAGGTGTGCTAGTTAGGGTAGACCCTTTCCTCTTTCCTATTGATTTTGTCGTGCTTCAAATAGAGAAAGATGCTAAAATTTCAATTATTCTTGGTTTCCCATTCTTAGCAACTACTAGAGCTAATATAGATGTTCCAGAAGGTAAATTGATGCTATGATTAGGAGATGCATAATTCACGATGAGAGTGCTTGATACTATGAAGTATGAACACTCATGGTGCATTCAATGATCACAACTGAAACACCCTAATCCGGCCGGGTACTACTTTTTCCAAAATACACTTGGCAAACCGATAATACTCAAGAAGCATATACGCTAAAAGCAGCAAGAAAAATTTTCATAACTAAAATGCTGAAAACACATTCTTGTAGTTCAAAGCAACGCCCTACCACTTGGGCAAAGTCAATACTTAAAATCTCAAAATGATCTCCAGTTTATACTCATCATCATAAAATGTAATAACTGAGTAGTCTCTAACGCCCTTACGTTTTAAAATCTCTAGTACTTGAGCACTTCACTCAAAAACTTACTTAAATTGGTAGGAATTGTTTGTATTTCCACTCTTAAAAATCCTAACTAAAGAAGTAAATTGATATAGTGTAAAATGCCTAAAATTATGAAGAAATATAAAAACTATACTAATTCATTGATAAATGCAAAAAAAAAAAACCCTGAAACATTAATGTCTTCGTTAATAACTCGTGAATCATGATCAATAGAGACATGTTTTGAAAGAAAAAGTATACACCAAGAAAAAAATTAGCAAACTGCTCCTTCCTAGGCTTGAACTCGGACCCATGGGAAAAAGAATTGCATTACCGCCGTTAGACTGGATGCTTGCTTATGATCCATCAGTGCACACATAATTATTTATAAATAATCTTTGGTTTATACGTAACTTCCAAATTTCATACAAAATTATACGTAGGATTTGAAATTCTCGGGGAGGGAGGGGGGGGGGGGGTAGGGGGCGAGGCCTCACCTAACTCCGCCCCTGTGGAGGATAACTTCAACACAAGCTTGATCATAGTTTACACCAACACAAGCTCGTTATCAGTTACACCATGCTCCCTTCAACATGTTAGTAATTATTACTCTTTTCAAGACCAACAATTCCCCAAAATCTCCTTCTAACACCATTTGAATCTGAGCTGTATCAATGAGTTGAATCCCTTAACCACCTCCCTCCCCCTTATCAGCCATGCACGAAAATTATCGTATATATTCTTGTTATTAGGGGTGGGCAATGGTGCGGTTTGAACCGCACCGCACCACATTAGTATAAACCGCCCACACCGTAAGATAATTGGACCGCCCCACATATAAGACCGCTAGTTATCGGTGCGGTCTAACCGCACGACATAAATTAGCGTTTTGGCCCGCTACCGCATTTACGACCGCAAAGTGCAATCATCTAAAAACGAATTCATCATGGAGCTTTGGCTGAAATAATGAGACGGTAATTCCAAATGGACTAAGATGTGAAGCAACTGTTGATGAAGTTTGGTTCGGTTCTGTTAAAAGAAAAGGTGAAACCCCATCTGGCCATCATAGCATCCTTTCTCCCTGTTCTCTATCAAGCTCTCTGTCAAGCTGGCAAAAATCATGAATAAATAAACTATGGCTTCTTCTCTAATCTGCTGAACCAACTGCTTACTCCTAACGGGACTTGTTTACACATGAGTACCATTAAAAGAACAACAGCAAACAAAAGATGTTCTCAAGCCTCCCACATACAACAACCAAATTTAGATATAACTACGACAATGTAAATCCTTTAATACTATTCATGGAAGTTGCTCAAACTACAGTTGTTTTCGACCAAAAGTTGTTCACTTTCACTGAGTAGTAACACTATAGCAAGGCCCTTAATTCTATTTCACTGTCTAATTCTCCGTCTTCTAGCAGCAGTACCTTAAGCCAGTCCTCATGAAGTTGAAGCGCACACACAAGCAGTCGCTGCAACACATGTCAGGAAACAAGCATAAAGAGTTAGGTCTACCCTTTGACAATAGACACAAGCAACAAGGAATCCTCTGGCTTTCAAGACTTTGACTTGCTGTTCTTGACTTGGGAAAGAGAGGAATCAAGAAATTGAAAACCCAGCTCTTAGTTTCATCAAGTTCTGGTGCAACACCAAAAGCAAGAGCATATTAAGAACAAAGATGCAACACCAAAAGCAGCATTGAAGGGGGGAAACAGAATGTACAAATTGAACAGAGGTTGCTTTACGGCTCAAACTCACAAACCCAGTAGAGGAAAATGCAGCAGCCATGGCAGTTGTTATCCCACATACTCGATTGGCTTAAGTACGTTATGATCCAGTGTACAAATATATCTTAAGCTGGATTATTATAATCTTGCTTACTAGCATAAAATGGTTCTCTAGTCTAGCAAAGTGCTGCCAACCAATTAGATCAATTACCTTATACTTAATTAAATTGCACGTTTAAATACTTAATTGTTAGGATGTCTTACTAAGTAGCTATTGCTTCATATATATATATAGTGCCTTCTAAGGTACCCCGGGTGAAATCCGGGGTACCGCATATCTTGAGTATGAAAATGCTATCTAGACCTCGAATTAGCAGGATTTTTAGGCATGATACTATACCCTAACCCATATTGACTGAACCCTAGGTCCTAATTATCTAAATAATAAACTATAAACCCTAAGATGGTGCATTCTTTTTTTTTTTTTTTGCCTATATTTGGACGAATCATAATCGTCGATTATTGTTTCTAATTAAATTGATCTTAGGGTATAAGATTTAGAGAAATAAGACCTAGATTTTGATCTTCAAGGGTTAGAGTATAGTATCATGTCAGAAAGATCAGTCAATTCAAGGTTTGGATAGCGTTTTCATACTCAAGGTATGTGGTACCCGGGATTTCACCCGGGGTACCGTAGAACTCGCCATATATATATATTATAATGATTTGTTTCTCTGGTATTGCTCACTGTATTGCTCACTGTAGGAAATTTTAATGCCCAAGAATAAACAATAAAGTATCATTATGGAGGTCATTTCACATTTTCACCTCGTAGGCAGTACACAGGGGGAGTGAGATGGTAAAAGATGGCCATGAGGTGGATTTCCTATGTTATTTCACTATCCTGGATGACCTTAAGGCATGTGGCTTTAACATTCTTGATGGAGATAAGTTCTATTATCTTAAACCAAGAACTCCTATTAGTGACTTAAATGGGCAAGAAAAGTGTTCTCTCTCCCCAAACCACTATTTCAAAATAGGAGGCAGCGGTCACTCATCTGATTCCAAGCCTGGAAGGACAAAGATCTTTACAAATGATGAAATGTGTAGCATGAAGAACCAAGATGGGTTACACAATGGGGTGGACATAGCAGGATCAGTGTAACAACGAACACCAAAAAATTTCAGCACCAAGCATACATTTCATAATATATCCAGAGTGACTTGACTGACTAGAGACTCACTACAAAACCAGAATCGATTTCATTCATCACAAACATCGATTTCATTCATCACAAACAGACTCACCACAAAACCAGTCACACTAAGAACGTAACCATAGTCAAGAAACTCACCTCACTAGATACCGCTGCTCGAGCACGTTTTCCCTGCGAGCCTTTTGATTTCATTTTGCAAATTGTATCTTCTTTTTCACAGATTCATTACAACCCTATAAAGCAGATGAAAGAAAATAGTTAGAAACAAAGTGACCACCATCTCAACCAGCCACAACAACACAATAGGGTTATTCTGCTAACTCTATAAGTAGTTAGTATATACTAACACGATCGGACGGTGGAGGGGGAAGATAGCAGCTTGTGGCTCGGCTAAACCAAGCCTCTTCCCACAATTAAAACAAAAATGGGTCCCACAATTCAAAAAAATCTCACTTTTTCATTTCTGTTTAATTTCCTTTTCTCTCTCCATCATTTCATTTTCCTTTCTCTCCCACTCTCCAAAATCGTCGACTTCTTTTTATCTCTTCTCTTCTTCTTCTTCTTCTTCTTCTTCCTCTCTCTCTCTCTCTCTCCCTCTCTCTCTCTCTCTCTCTCTCTCTCCCGATAATACAAAATATCTCTCGACAATGACGGGTGTGAGAGACACGACGCCGACGATGAGGGCTACGGGCAGGAAGAAGACGACACGAGGAGAAGACGGCGGTGTTTGAAGGAAGACGACGTCGCCCGAGCAAGAAGGAAGACGTTGAGGTAGACCTCTTCCTTTCTCCTGATTCATTGAGGGCACCAACGTGACGGTGAAGGCAGATCTTTGAGGTAGGTGTTTTACCCTTCTCTCTCCTTGATTCATGGATACGAATGTTGGATTACATATATTTTATTTAGGGTTTCATGGATTCGAATGGATCTGAGTTTTTTTTTTTGCTTCATTTTTTGGATATGAGATTCATTGTTGGGGATCTGGGATTCTTGTCTGGGGATTTGAGATTCGCTTTTTGTGCCTTGTGATTCGATTTGGGGATCTGGGATTTTCTATGGCTGGGATCTGGGATTCGATTGGGCGATTCGGGATTCTTTATATTTGATTTAGGGTTTCATGAATTCGAATGGATCTGAGTTTTTTTCTTTTGCTTTGTTTTTTGGATTTGAGATTCATTGTTGGGGATCTGGGATTCTTGTCGGGGATTTGAGATTTGATTTATGTGCCTTGTGATTCGATTTGGGGGATCTGGGATTTTCTATGGCTGGGATCTAGGATTCGATTTGGGATTCCTTATATTTGATTTAGGGTTTCATGGATTCGACTAGATCTGAGTTTTTTTTTGCTTCATTTTTTGGATATGAGATTCGTTGTTAGGGATCTGGGATTCTTGTCGGGGAATTTGAGATTCGCTTTCCGTGCCTTGGATTTCGATTTGTGGGATCTGGGTTTCTTTTGATTTGGGGGATTTGGGATTTTCTATGGCTGGGATCTGGGAGATTCGGGATTCTTGTTATTTGTTTTAGGGTTTCATGGATTCAATTGGATCTGATTTTTTTTTTTTTGCTTCATTTTTTTGGATTTGAGATTCGTTGTTAGGGATCTGGGATTCTTGTAGGGGGATTTGAGATTCACTTTCTATGCCTTGGGATTCCATTTGGGGGATCTGGGATTCTTTCAAATTGGGGGGTTCTGAGTTTTACTCGTTAATATGTTTGTTTGTTGACTTGGATTATTATTTAGCATGCTTGGGATACCAGTTCGTTGAATGTGGATATTGTTTGGGGGGTTCTGAGTTTTGCTCATTAATATAGTAGTTTGTTGACCTGTGTTATTATTAAGCATGCTTGGGATACCTGTTTGTTGAATTTGGATGTTGTTTGGGGGGTTCTGAGTTCTGCTCGTTAATAAGGTAGTTTGTCGATCGGGGATATTATCTAGCATGCCTGGGATACCATTTTGTTGAATGTGGAAATTGTTTTGGGGGTTCTAAGTTTTGCTCGTTAATATGGTAGTTTGTTGACCTGAGATATTATTTAACATGTTTGGGATACCAGTTTGTTGAATATCGATATTTAGCATGCCCATGATGCATGGATATTTTTATGCTAGGTCTTGATATTTGTATGCTCTATATGGATATTAGTCTGGACTGTGCATATGCCTAATGATTTCTTTTCATGTATTTCAGGAATTTTGCAAGATGACAAGATCCAAGAGCTGTTCGATTCCAGCTCCTCCATGAGAAGGGGAGGTGGAGGCACATCACTGGCTCAAAACTATTGCTTTCTCATTTCTTATGTGGTTGTACTTTTTTGGATTATTGTGCTTTTTTGGATTTGAGATTTTGGGATTGCCAAGTTGTAATGGCATTGAATACTAGTTTTATCGCGGTTTGTCGATAAAATAACTCTTTTTTATTATGTATTTGAGTTTGTTATTCTGGAATATTATTATGTTAAGTCTGGATATTAGTTATGAAATGTATGGATATTAATCTGCGCTGTTTGGATATTATGCTCTCATACACGTCGACATAGACACCCTTCTAATATCCATTCATTGCAAAAAAAAAAAAAAATACAAACACCACCTAGTTTAATATCCGATCACAAGACGACCACCTAAACCTAAAAACTAAACCTTAACCTTAAAAAAGAAACCTTAAACTCTAACACTAAAACCCTAATCACTACTCCGAATCTACTCGAACACTACCTACACGAATATCCACACCACCCAGTCTAATATCCCACCGTCTTAGGAAAAATATCCTGTGATCCCAAAATTAAGATTATCCATATATAACAGACTAATATCCATCACACAAAGACTAATATCTTATTGTTGTACACTAATCCGAATAGTTACCAAAAGTGCTAGATGCCCCAACAAACAAAACTAAACCCTAATCACTAAACTCTCAAAACTAAACCATTAAACCCTTAACCCTAAACCCTAAACCTTAACACAAACCCTACAGAATAATATCCAAACGTCTCAGACCAATATCTAGTGAGACCTAAATAATATTGTAAATATAACAACATAATATCCACCACACACTCACTAATATCTTATAGTTGTACACTAATCCAAATAGTTATCAAAAGTGCTAGATGCTTAAATAAATGTGGGACAACATCTTAATATTTACCAAAAGTGCCCCATTAGAATATACAAACGTCCAAGAAAATTTCCGAAAACATGAACTAATATCACTTCAAACCAAAGCTAGACCCTAAACCCTTAACCCTCTTCCCAACACAAACCCTAAACCATAAAAACTATTATTATTTAGTGGACAGTTACCAAAAGTGTCTCATTAGAATATCCAAATGTCCCAGTCAAATATACAAAAACATGAACTAATATAAATTCAAACCAAAACTAAACCATTAAACCCTTAACCTTAACTCAAACCCTACAGAACAATATCCAAACGTCTCAGAAAAATATCTAGTGACACCTAAATAATATTGTACATATAACAGAATAATATCCATAACACACGGACTAACATCCACCAGACACTAATATCGGACAAGGCAATTTATAGCCAAAGAAACCTAATTACAATCCTAAACGAACAAGGCAACAATTCTGAATCAAACAAGGAAAAGAAAATGTTGATAACAATAAAACTTGCAACCCAAGTAACTAACTCCCCTCACAAGCTAATGTCCAGAAACAACCCTGGATGTCAACTTAGAGGCTCTAGAAATCGACCTTCTGGATTGAGTCGAGCTCAGCCAATTCCTTTTGGTTTAGAAAGTTTCACTCTATCATTTCCAACTCCGAGCTCGAGCTGGTCATGCCCCAAACTTCGTGAATTCGAGCTCAAAGTCGCTACCTCAAACTGTCTCCCTCCCCTAGTAAAAAAATGGCAATTATCAGAATGCAGGATAGGTTTTTGATGGCCTTGAAAAACAACCATCCTGGCCTTCTTTCCATGATCCAAATGCATCAACTTATAGAGGAACACTCAAACTTCAAAACAAGCCTTCACACGTGCATTTACACTTAGCCATTTGAGAGATTCAACCTTCCAAAGTAGGCTTGCCCGAGCTGTTCCCACACTTAGGCAAATTCCAGCTTGTTTCTCATCAACTTGATCCGAACTTTGAACGATTGATTGGAGTTCGTAAGAGGCTGTAATTGAGATCATATCAAGAAATACAAGAAAGAAACGTTGGCTCCGTTAATTTGAGAGAGGTGGTTTGGATAACTACTTATGAGCCACCGAAATTGGATTCATATTTAATATTTCAGTCTTGCCACGTCAACCCACGTGGAACAATAAAAAACTGTGTCACCAATGCCGCACTTTTACGGCGACAGTATAGTATCGACCCATGTTCACATGCTCGACTTCCACTAGCCAATCAACTCTCTATCTCCTTCTTTTATATAGGGCGATGGAAACTTTGATACAACAAGTAGAAGAGGACGAGGGCAGTTGAAGTCGCCAATCAATCAGGCAAGGCAATCACCATATACCGTGGCCGTGGATGTGGGCTTTCATTTTTGTCGCAAATGGGATGGAATTTTAATTGGATAGCCCTCGGTGCTGGCTGGGCCAAAACGTCGTTAGTTACGAGGGTGCTGAATTCTACATTTATGGCTAACCCCACTGCCGACAAACATACGATCCGATACAAATTTCGTAATCCCATCTATAACACACTAATCAATCCTCCTCCTCCTGTCTTCCGTCAAATCAAATCGAACGCCCCGGCTCCCTAAAAAAAAAAAGGGCAGGAAAATGTCGATTCTGGCATCAGATGAGGCCCTCTTCCGCAACTGCCTCCTCGCCTTCTACCTCATCGGCCCTCTCACCTACATCTCCCTCCAATTCCTCTCCGCGCCTTACGGCAAACACAGCCGCCCAGGCTGGGGTCCCACGATCCCGCCGGCGCTAGCCTGGTTCCTCATGGAAAGCCCTTCCGTTTGGCTCCCCATATCGATCTTCCCCTCGGGCAGGCACGCCGCCGATCGCAAGGCCCTGATTCTCATGTGCCCTTTCGTAATCCACTACTTCCACCGCACCTGCATCTACCCGCTCCGGCTGTACCTGCACGGCGGCGGTGCCGGTTTCCCGGTGAGCATGGCGGCGGCGGCCTTCTGCTTCAACCTGCTGAACGGTTATCTGCAGGGGCGGTGGGTGTCCCACTACAAGAGCGACTACGCGAACGATGGGCTGTTCTGGGCGAGGTTTGTGGTTGGGCTGGCGGTGTTCGTTTGGGGGATGCGGATCAACATTTGGGCCGACCGGGTCTTGGTGGGCCTGAAGAGGCAAGGCGGCGGGTACAAGGTTCCGAGAGGCGGGTGGTTCGAGCTGGTGAGCTGCCCGAATTATTTGGGGGAGGTCTTGGAATGGGCCGGGTGGGCGGTGATGAACTGGTCGTGGGTCGGGTTCGGGTTTTTGCTGTACACGTGTGCCAACTTGGTCCCCAGGGCGCGTTCCAATCACAAATGGTACTTGGACAAGTTTGGGGAGGATTATCCCAAGGCTAGGAAAGCCATCTTCCCTTACTTGTACTGAAGAATCATCATTCCAATTTCCAAGCAGAAGCAGTAGCCTTTTTTCTGGGTTCAGAGAGCTGGTGGGTTCGTGTTCGAGTGTGCTCTAGCGTCGTTGTACTGTTTCACGACTGTTTCTAAGTGTTTGTGTGTGGGATATATATGTAATGGCTGCAACCAGCTGAATCTTGGGAGTACGATCGCTTGTTTTCTTCCGTTGCCCAACTCTTATGAAAGCGTTAACAACACAATCAACTTGACTTTTTAACATTGAAGGAGATCACTAATGCTTCCAAACTTATTGTGCAAATGATTGTGTTGCAGTATCTGCTACAAGTAAATCCTTCTATGAGCAGTGAATTCATATTCATTCTTCTCGATTTTATCTGAGTGTATCATGACCAAACCTTGCGATTATCGCTTATGCTTATGAATGAAAAAGGCTACCCATTCGGGAGATCTTGCAGACACTAGTAAGGTTGGGTTACAACCAGCACAAATCTTCACAACTCCTGTGGGTACACAATTAAAAGGCTGAACGCGGCAAGTATGCTTTTATATCAACAGATGAGTTTTCTTTTATTACTGAAAGGCGGAAGTCAGCCAACTAACTTCTGAGACCACTCATGATTATAGGCTAGCACCACAGTGTATATAAAAACAAAGTCTGTTTCTATTCGGCAGGATCATTCTTCAGTAAAATAGGATGCAAACTAATAATAAATTAACTCAACTGGACTCCGTACCAAAAGGGTTTCAGGCGAACCATAAATATCAGCTCTCATCTTCAAGAGGGAAAAGAGAACAAAAAACCAACACAAAAACAATGCTATTGGCTGTGCGATGTCATGTTTCCCATGGAAGACCAAAACCTCGTGCACTCTCTGTCAGGCATCGTAACCTTACAAAGATGTGTTCTTGGTGGGAACATGAAGGTCCAAGGTTCTGAAAATCTTTACCGCTGTGGCTACGTCTTCAGGATTATTATACCTACCAAAGAAAGAGGACCGAAATTAGACAATAAAATCTTCATCCGACTGTTACTGCGTTCAAAAATGTCCGTTCAAAGAACTCACTCGGTTTGCGCCATAGTTAATCTCCACCCTAGAATCATCATGCGGGGAACCATTGTTGTTCTGATCAGCATCTTTGAAGGTACCATCCAACCCTCCGAGAGACTCCACGGTTTTGGAAACCTCTACACTCAGCTGAACATGCTTCTCTTTTAGATCAGGGGAGCTTACAGCAGCAGCGACTCTCTGCTTAATTTGGTTTTCTAGAGCTTCAATTTTATTTCTGGCAGTTGGATCAGGCGTAGTTCCTGCCTTTGCAACCTCCACTTTCAGCAACTGGATCATATTTTTAATATGTGGCGAGTTGATTGCATCTTCAATCTTCTTGTTAGTTTCTTCTTTGAGAGTTTCAACCTTCGCCTTCAGCTCTGGGAGAGAAACTTGCTCATCATCTTGTTTTGTACTCGGTTTCACAACCTCAACATCAAACCCCAAGGACTTGAGGTCATTTGCCAATTCCACATCTATCTCTCTCTTCATCCTGCCAATCCTCTCTTTTGTCTCCCGATCAGGATTCTCAATCCCAGAAGCACGTAGCTTTTGAATCTCAGCCTTCAATTCTTCAATCTTCTCCTTTCTCTCCGGCCTACCCATGATGATCTCTTTCAGCTTTTCATTCATCTTCACTTTAGAGAACTCATTCAACATATCAAGCTTATACTTGAGGTTCCCATAATTTGGAGCAGTAGAAAGGCCTTGATCAAATTCATTTTTCAGTTTCTCAATCTTGTCCATCAGTGACGGATGCATGAGTTGTTGTTCTGAGTTTGATTTCCTGAATTCTTCCCTTAACATCGAGATCCGGTCTCCTAGGCCGATGGAATTAATAGCTTCAGAGAATTCGAGATCGACCTCCCGCTTCAGTTTTGTTATCATCTCGTCCAGAGCTAGTTCTGAGGGCTTGTTGTCAGCAGATGACTCCATAGCTTTGAAAATTTGCTTCTTCACCTTTTCAACCTCGTTCTCTAATTCTATAACTGGGATCTTTCCTGAAACGGATTCTTCTTTCTTCTTCATATTGACCTTTCTCTTGGGATCAATAGGAATGCCCTCCTGAAACCCACCGAGTTTCCGGAACTTGAGATTACGATGTTTTAGGAGGTTTTCTGTGTCCAGTTTGGTGAGCTCCTGGAGAAAAACGCAAGATTTATGTTAAGATGCGAAACAAATAGATCTTATACGGGAAGATCACAAAACCTAGATTTTCACTTACATCCATAGATTCAATAATTGCTTTCTTTATCTGTTGTGAGGTCCATGAGGGATCTGCATGTGCCCCCCCAAGTGGCTCCTACAAAACAAGAAAAAGGTCGTTTCATATTCTCAGGGATGGATCAAAGAGACTTGAGCTTATTAAAAGAAGTGGACATAAAGAAGCAGACAGAAAAAGACAAAACACAAGTTTGATAATAGATCTTAAGAATAGAATAAGGCTAGAGGATTGTACAGGTATTATCCCGTCGCAAATCTGCAGCTTGCACAATTCATTAGCAGTAATCTTCAGCTTCTCGGCAGCCTATTAGCGAGAATAAGAAACAAGAAACACAGAAACAAAGACCTTGCTGTCAAACAAGGGACTACAGTATTTCAGTTAATCAAACACATAAGTGACCTACATAACGTGAGAAAGTTAGAATGAAACAAAACCTTTGGAGAAGCTTTGGCAGTCTTCCACAAAATCGCGGCACATGCTTCTGGACTATATTTCCAAAGAGAGAAGTAGTTAGGAGGCAATCTATTGGTAAGCCTCAACATGAGTGCATGCTGCCCATCATAAATTAATGACTTGGAAAGATGCTAGAGATAATGACTTGGCATAACTTCTTTTTACTGAAATCATGGCGCCATTCAGATAAGGACACACGGAGGGGGGGACGATTTGGTTAGGCCTTCTAGCCCATTATAAGAGATACATAGCAGCTTAAAGTTTGTCTTAGCTGGATCAAGATAATAACATAAGAGAGTTGAGACTAGCAAGGCTATTCTGAGACAGACCACGAATATCAACAAGCTGACTAACTACCGCTTACAAATTACAACAACAACAACCACGAGCCTTGTTTAAGACATGCAGCTGGCATAAGCAACAATATTATGGAAAAGAAAGCCTAGAGCCGGACTGAAAATTACCTTGCAACATAGAAGACGGCATTTTCAAGCATCAACAATTTATTAGCACAGCCTATGGCCAGAGCACCACCAGAGCCACCCTCACCAATAACAATTGAAATTATTGGTACCTTTAGACCAAACATGGTCCTCAAGTTGTGAGCAATTGCTTCACCCTGCATGTGCATAAGGAGAATGCATCAGCTGAGAGGCATTTCATGAAAAGTGCAAATATTGTACATCATAGCGAAAAAACATACTTGGCCTAGCTCCTCAGACTTAAGGTCGGCAAATGCTCCAGGCGTATCAATAAAAGTAACAATGGGGAATCCATGGTGATCTGCATAATACATCATTCGTAGAGCCTTCCTATAACTGTTCACCAATAAAATCAACCAATGTGTGAGATACGATAAACCATACTTCAGCATAGATATAACAAATGATGGACAAGATCTTGTTGTATAATTTTTTACTATGATGATCAAATAAAATATGATCAAATCAAACATACCCATGAGGTGTGGGCATCCCGAAATTGCGCATAATATTCTCTTTAGTGTTTCTACCCTTTTGGTGGCCCATAAACATGTATCTTTTACCATCTATAGTTCCTATCCCAGTTACAATAGCAGGATCATCATAACCTGCTCGGTCTCCATGAAGCTCCACAAACTGGAGACAAAAATAGATACCAGGAAATGAGTTCAGAGGCATTCACCAATGCATCTTCATCTAACTAAATAAAGAAAAAGTGCAGTTGACAGCTATCAGAATGGACCATGCATATGCTGCAGCAAACCTTTTCTGTGATGCTAAAAACATGATCGAGGAAAGTGGGCCTGTTAGGATGCCGTGCAATGTTCACACGTTGTATAGGGGTCAAATGGGTATACAAATCCTTCAGGGCCTGAAACAAAACAAGAACACATTGAAAATTGAAATGCCTAAACATGAGTCCAGCAGCATGGACATTTTACACGGTACTTCAATGAAAGTTTCCAAACCCAACAATCCATAGACAGAATACCCCGTGCACAATTCCTCCATATTGAATAAAAAATGAACAAGTAATCTACTATGACTAGTTACCCACAACCATAAGACTTATCAAACCTGTTGATATTTGTTCTCCAATGAGACAATCTGATCAGTAAAGTCCAGACCAGTATCATTTGCCATCTTCCTCACCTGCACCACCCAAGAAGGGGGGAAACAAAAGTTTTGAAGCAGTAAGTGAAGAACTATGAAGACTAGTACTACAAATTCATAGAAGAAGGAAGAACTAAGAGAGGGAAGAGTGAAATTTACATCAATGATCTTCCTTTCCAGATCAACGAGAGGCTTCTCGAAATCCAAAGTGACAGGCTTTGGCCTCTCTTTCATAGGCTTAAAATGAGAGAGGTGAGAAAGGACTCCGCCCTTGACATTGGGATCCGGATCATCGGGCCATGGATACTCGTGCTTCTTAACCTTTCTAACCTTGGCCACAATTGACAAATCCCTAGCTCGCGAGCTGGACCCTGCCAACTGCTTTCTCCCTAAGGTTCTCAAAGGGATACCGGAGATACCACTGCTGGAGCTCCGGAGAAGATCCGAAGCCTTTGGCCCGGTGAGTGCAGCTGGAGAATGCGGTAAGGTAGCCATTCTCCCCAACTCCAAGGTCAGCGCTCCGATCAAGTCCGCAGCTAGTTAACGACTCCCACCCAAGCTATATAAATAACCAACCGCTCTCACCAAATTCGAATCTGTGAAAAGCACAAGCTCATTCAATTCAATTATAAAGAAACAAGCAGCTCGCTTATGGCGGCTGAGCAAACGGGGAAGAGAAAAGAAAAGA